CTAGTGGTGATAGCCTCTTAAGTCTCTTGTGGTTGTAGATTCTAGTACTTCCAATCCATAATTATACACTTCACAACATGTTGCATCACCTTCTCATCTGCGGCACTCCAGTGAGATTGCTGCAGATGAGAAGAAACAGCGAGAAGACGAACTAAGTTGGTTGCTAAAAGAGCCAGTAGTGACTGGTCCGCTTTTTCTCGAAGGAGCTCTAACAATGACATTCGAAGGTTAGGTGCCGCCTAATCCAGTGCCTATATCCCTCATTGCGCTGAGAATGATGATTTGATCGGAACTTCAGGCAAATTCAATACGAATGTTCACCAATCGTCGTAGACCGCCCAGAATCCATCTACCATTCTAGAATTGCTTTCCGGTTGACCCCATCAGAATTGCTTTCTGATTGATCCCTCTACGGGGTCCTTTCTCTGAGCCGAGACGTTCTACAACACATGCTTCTGCTATCTACATACAATATTTGAACTATTGACACCTCGTGAGGATTTGCTACATACCCAGAAATTGTAGACTAGACGCTGCGATCCTTGGCCGTACGTCAAACGGCGATACTTCATTTAGACGAGGTTGCCATCACATGACAATTTCCTTTCAGTCACAAGAGCAATTTGAAAAGAAGAAGAGATAAATTAGGAGGTGCTTGCTTCCGGGTTACCCACAATATCACAATAGACATTCAGGGACCAAATGTGAGAAAAAGGGAGCATCTGTTGATTTCGTTTCAGCTTGCTTGATCGTATCATTTCTATTATGTGATGCAAATACTGCCACTGCTAGCAGGAAGGTCGGCTGTCTGTTCAGCTTTGGGTGAGTGGACACTATTTTGTGATTTTGAAGAAGGAGTCGCATTCAGCGTGGTGGGATCGCACATATAAAGGAAGAATTTTACGGAAAGTTGGATGCGCGAAAATGATACAAGGACCATGATAGTGGTAGATTGGAAGGAGAACACGGGGTGGGGATGGGGGGGGGTATCCATGCAGATAGGTCAAACACCACTTGACCTGTCTGATCTGAAAGCTTTTCCGCAAGAACGGAGGTTCGATTCAAAGAAACCGCAGAGGTGAAACTCTAGACGAGAGTAAGCTTATTATACTTGGGTGGCACAGCGAACGTTCGCGGAAAAACGCTGAATATCGATTTGAATATGATCAAAGAATCAGTGCTAATGCTAGGACGTCACCCGGAAGTGGCGCGCAGAACCCCCGCCCGAGTTCTGTGGTCAGTATGCGAGGGCTACCGAGGAGTGAACGGCCTCGGCCAAAGAAGCTAGTTCTTGAAACTCCCGGGGAGGCTTATTAGTCAACCATAACAGCCAAATTCAAAAAGAAATGCGGCATTAAGCTTTTTGGGCAGCTTAACAGCAGCATTTTCAGAGGAAATCATGAGTAAGCAGAGGGTACATTGGTTGAATTCTTCTAGGGGAAAAAAGGTTAGGGCTAGTTGTCGGTTTCGCCATTTTCACTTGACTGGACCTCCCATTTCGCAGACCTAAATTTGAAAACTCGGCAAGAAAGCTCCTTGCAGGACAGAGAATTCTCTTTTGAATGGTATGGTAATGAATGGTTGATGTGAAATCATGGAGATAGCCTAGAAATTTTTTTTGAAATCGACCGACATGAATGCCATAAACCAGTTTTTAATCGACCGACATGAATGCCATAAACCAGTTTTATAAGTGGATAAATGAGTCTGGTAAAAGAAATTGTTGGAATCGATGAGCAGCGAGGCGAGAGATAGCCACTAAGGCCGATGTCAGACTTTGCGAATCGCTAGCGTCTGCGGTCGCGTCGCGGCCAGTGAATCACTCAATTGGCTGGTACCGCAACGCGACCGCGGACGCTAGCGAATCGAATCGCGCGATTCGCAAAGTCTGACATCGGCCTAAAAGAGAAATAACGTGGAGAGAAACAGTAGACGCCGCAACTGTGAGAGTGTTGGCTATTTGAGGTGGTGATGGTAGCTGGCGTTGACTTCAGGGTAGAGAGGTCTTGATGGGATTCTCCCTCTAGTAGTAATGTTTATATGCATATGTCAGCACACATCAATGTATGTATGTGTATGTGAGTAGCACAGTGAAGGCTGAAGTGTTTCCTCTGTTCATAATGAATAAGTTCTTACACTGGAGGGTGAAAAAGGAAGCATTCATGAATCTATAGCGCTTGGAACAGGCATTACTTTCTTGGAAATGAACTCTTTAGAGAAATTGCGACAGATCTGAATTCTAATAGGATTTGATTTCACATCAGTTACTGTGATTTCTTTGAATGCTGAAGACCGGTTTTGTGCAGTGCAAAGCGGAGTTTCGTGAGCATGCACACCGTGCCTCCATTGGTCATTGATTTTTAAAAATTTGGGATTATGCAAAGTGATAAGCAGATAGGAATTTAAGCTTTCATTCAAAAAGTTATAGGCCCTCTGTAAAAGATTTTTTTTGAGAATTAGTACATTTTTTGTATTTTTCTGTGCACATGCAAGTTTTTTTGAAACTTTCCATGAAAAATAGTTCGCTAAGTTAGAACGAAATCTTTTGCCGAAATGTCATTGTAGGTTATCGACCACTAGGAGTTGAATGGTGAAGGTTTCATAACACAAAAAGCCTTTAGCTGACTCCTGAGAATCGATTCCAGGGTGTCCACATACTTTTGGTACGCACTGTATATCCCCCGCGTTGTCGTCAATGTGTTAAAATGGTTTCTTGCATGACATAAGGCACATGTAGGAACCACAGAACAATGCTTCTTTTTTCCTGAGCGGCCACCTGAATACCATAAAAAGGGGTGACGAAGTGGTTCGTGTTTGATTCCTCGACAAACTTCTTGCGAGTTGGCGTTCCAGAATTTGCATAAAGTGGCACCAGTGCCAAGAGTGGATGTCATGTTCATAGTTAGATTCATCAGCAACCCTTACAAGTAGCTTTTGACTGAAAAAAGGAGGTGGAGTTTGTGACACCAAAACGGCACTAATGTGGCACCGAATGCCGTCACAGCAGCACCAGTGACGTCCGCGCCAAAACGAATGTCATGATGGTGATCAGAGCACTGGATAAGCCTTATAACCGCAGTTCAGAAAAAATAAGATTGGACACAATTCTGAACTGTTTGAACCGTTGGGCCTGACGGCGAGTGATTTATGTGCGATCTCCTCGTCACCATACTCTGAATCTTACTCTAGAAAGAAGAGCTCCTAACCCAAAGAACAGCAAACACCGAAAACCTCGACTTCCGCTCCGACCTCGCCTTCAAGCCGTGGGGGTTGCCTCTACTGTCTGCTCAATTTTTTGAAATCATGTCAATCTCGATTTTCCTCGAAACTTCAGCGTGGGATTTAGATCAGTGCCTTGCCTACGAAGATGGCATACTTTTTTGGCGCCAGTGCAATTTGTCGCCATCTGGTTGTTCGCGTTGTTTTCGATGTACGGATAGCGGGAACCATGACATTAGTCAACGTTGTGTACGATATACACAATGAAAGTGCCATATGATATGCCAATGAAACAGTAAAAACGACACTTTCAAAGTTGATTTTTCTTTCCCTTTTTTGGTATTCAGGGAGACATTAGAGAAAAACCACAGTCTTGTGGTTCCTGCATATGCCCCCGTATTATGCAAAAACCGTCTTAAAAAGCTTG